CAGACAGGACAGCTTTCAGGTAAGATCTGATCCAGTGGCTGAATGAAGCTCTCAGAGACCTTATTTCTTTATTCTTCTCATCCTTGCTTTCAGGGCATTTTTTCACCTAAAGCAGTCTCCTCATGATCAGAGGACGGCTGCTAGAAGGATATGTAGATAAGTATTTCCTCATGAGCATCTGGTCTGAGTTATCTCTCCCTTTTACTACACACACACACACACACATACACACACACACACACATACACACACACACATACACAAATAATACTCTTTGTGGACTAACTTGGGTCATATGATCATGTCTGAACCAGTCCATGCAGCCAGGGGAATGGCAGGTAGTGGGGGCTTAGGCTTGGCTTATGCATAAATTCTGAAATAAACTGAAGCAAGGAGGAAGGCATTTCTCAGTTATCTGAGACCATCATGGCCCACGCATAATTTTTAACTTATCTCTCTTATGAATTGACAACCAAAATAAATAAGGATGCTGTGATGTGAATTATAAAATCATAAGCTTCTACTTTGTATACAACACATTAAAAATGCGTATTCCTTTCAAACAGTCAAGAAACAGTAGCAAAAATTAGTTGCTGTCATACTATGAAGAATCTTAATAAATTTCAAAAAAAGTAAAAATCAGAGAAGCCATATTTTGAGCATAATATAATTGTTTTTGTGAAACTAGATAGAATATTCCGGCACAGCAAGACTCCAATCTCTCCTATATGACAGACTGCAGAGTGGTTATGGCTAGGAGTCCTAGAGCCTCATGCAGGTTGATGATATACATTCCTCCACCACTGTCACCAGACTTTCCAACAAACTCTAGTGGATGATCTGCCAGCAGAGTGAGATACTGAACAAGAACTTGCTTAGAAACATTATGGCCAACAGGTAGGGATCCGAAGATCTCATCAGAAGACAATGGCTGGGTGAAAGGGGCACTAGAGGGAGTGGTATAATCACTCATCTGGAGCATGATTTGAACCATCTTGTTGCTGGTCTGGGTTTCAAAAGTGAACTGGTCCATCCTGTTGACAGATGTGCTGACAACGGTTTGGTTTTGGAAATGCTTCATTAAAATAGAGATTGTCTTAAAAACTGTGTCATGGTTCTGAAAGGCCCATCCAATGATGCTTTGATGGATCCACTAGTTGTAAGGGAATGAGTAGGATGCAGAACAAAACATGAAGTACCCAGGAAGTAGGGAAGCTGAAAAAGCAATGTGTTATCCTTCCTCTCAATGACCCAGACTCTGGCCGAGGAGACTACCAGAGGGTGAGAGTGAAAGAGGAAGTGATAATGACTGAGTCACAGCCCACAAAGGTTTGGAATAGGGAGGCCTGATTGTGAAGCTCTTGAATTTTGAAAACAGGTTGGATGCATCCTTAGGGCCAAGAAGATAACAGATTTGGCAAAAGAGTATTAAGGACAATGAACATAAATTGAAGCTTTGGGTAGCCCTTTCCTACTATAATATTTTTCAGCATAGAGCCAGTTGCATAGAAAGAAGTTATACTTAAGAAACCACAGAGTCCTGCGAGTAAATGGTTAACAGCAGGCCTGGACTGACCTTGGCCTACCTGGGAAAATGACCTCAGGTCTCTCTTCTTTCAGTACCATCTCCCTGGAAATTATAGGGGTAAGATAGATATGTAATGTTGTGTCTGCTTTCTTTGCTGTTTCTCTGTGATTTGTGGGTCTATACCTGGACTGGGGTAGCTGTGCTTTACATGGCCAGAAGAATATTTTTTAAAATGGTGAGAAATTGAGGTGACAGCTTTTGTGTTGTTACCCTTGAATATTTTGTCTGTCATCTGCAGCAATTATGCATGTCTCATGTGTGTAAGGGGACATCACAAGCTGTGTACCTGGGTAGCTGTTGGAACCTCCAAAAGATGAACTGATGGTGCACGCTGAGTATCCTGTCCTGTGTATCCTTTTATAAAACTATCTAAACATAGTATTAGACCAAAGCTTATCATGGTTTGTGAATTTGATTGCCAATCTAAACCTGTGACAACCATTGGTGATACTGAAAGAACAAGTAAGAAATTGTAGATGAATGGGACACATCACAGAAGAATCGACCCACAATCAGACATTGGAAGAATTCACAAAAGTAGTTCTCTATAATTTCAAAAAAGCTAGAGAAAACATCTGTCTTTTTTTAAAAAAAAAAATGAGGGTAGAAAGCTCAAGAGAAAAACGTATAAAATTTCAAAGAAGAAATAATAAGCTCCCAGAAAGTGATCAGCTAATTAAAAGAAAGCAAGCAGAATCCATAATATAAATTACAAATAAAAATAAAGGTAATATAGAACACAAGCCACATTAAAAAACAGCAAATATATTCTACATACAAGTAGTTATATATAAAATAACACATATAGAACAAATGTGACTGAAAACACAGTTAGGGACATGGTTAATAAGCTAGAAGAAACAAAAGCAAAAGTTAGTAGAAAACAATAAGTTTACAACAACAATTATAGAGATAATAAATGTGAAAGCAAAAGAAACCTAACATATCATAATTTTCCAAACAAAGAAAAACAAATAAAATAGAAACGAGATCTAAAGATGTAATAGAAGAAAATTTCCTTATAAAGATATACCTGGATTTGCAGCTCAAAAGGTCACCAAGACATACCTTGGTGATTTCTCCAAATTTCAAGGATAAGTAAAAATTAGAATAGGCTTCTATATAGAAAAAAAAAGGACATATTATGTGGTAGTCTTCAAGATATGCCCACAAATTCTTTGATACAATTCAAGAGGTGGAGCTAAATTCTTTTCCCCTTGGGTCTGGGCTGGGCTTAGCGACTCATTTCTAGGTAAAACAATACAGCAGAAGTGATGGGATGTCACTTCTGAGGTTAGGTTATGAAAAGGTTATAAAAATGTGGCTTCCGGCTAAGTTGTGCATACACTCTCTCTCTCTTTTTAATCATTTGTTCTGAAGAAAGTCACTTGTCATTAGACACTCGAGAAACCTATAGAGAGGCTCAGGTGGAGAGGACTGAGTCCTTTCAACAATCATGTTAGTGGGCCTAGAAGCAGATTCTTCAGCCCCGGTCGATAGCTTCATTGCAGCCTCATACAGACCCTGAGCCAGAATCATGCAGCCAATCTGTTCCCAGATTTCTGGACCACAGAAACTGAGATAAAAGTATATGTTCTTTTCAGCCCAGTTTTCAGGTAATTTGTTCTGCAGCAATAGATAATTAACATGTGGTACAAGAAGGAAACTGTTGTTTTCAAAATTTTCTACATCCATATTCCATTCCAGAAGATAGGGAGCAAAATCCGAAAAGTTCAGAGGGAAAGAAAGCATGATCCAGGAATTTTAGGGCTAGCTGAGTTGTTCACATGTGTATGTAACAGACAGACATGCTCAAGAATGTAAAAACTCAGGGAAGACAACAACTGTGATAATTTTGGCAAAAAAATATTTGATATAATTCAAACCAAACAATGAAGAAGGGATTAAAATTCTAAAATACATGAATAAAGAAGACATGGCAAGAGTATTTGACTTCAAAACTACTAAAATAAGATTAAATTGTGAGAGGTTTAGATGGGATGCAGAATACAAATGTTATAAACTTGACAATGTGAAAATAATAATATAATTCGTAAAATTCATGAGTAAGAAGGAGAGAAGAAATTGTTGTAATTTCTTCATTTTTCTTACCAGAAGTAAAAATATACAGTTGAAAATTGAAATTTAAAAAAAATTAATTATCTCGATCTCATTATAATCATTTTTCTTTAAAGAGATCTTTAGAAACTAATATCTTCTCTGGAAAAAAATTTATGAATAAATAATTTCTACAGTTATACTTTAGCTTTGTTCTTCAAATTTAATTTACGTTTTACTTTGAAATTAGCATGACTATATGTTAGAAAAGTATCTCTCTTGATACTTGTATGTGTTTAAATGTTTACAGAGATAACTGGAATCATGGTCATGGTACATTAAAAATAACTTCTTTTACTGGGACGATTATTACCGTATATTTAGTTTTATCCTTTCTACTTTTATGTGTTGCTTGAGCTTTTCTGAAAGAAGAGTAATGAGCATATATACTTTTTGCTAAATTAATATTTATTTTTAAACAAACGAAGAGATAAATGAATTAAATGTATAGCATAAGGAATAGGAAAAAATGAAAAGTGAACTCCAAATATGACCAAAGGCACTAACAGGCGAAAGTTCCTCACCACAGTGATCTTCTCTATAGATTTCTTCCTGGGGAGGGGGAAATCTGGCTGAAGAAGTAGAAAACGTACAGACCCTAAGGCAAGAATGGGTTTGACAAATCTGAGGCACAAGGTGGCTGAAGGACAACAATCTAGAGGGAGCATGTCAGGAGATGACATATGAGGACTAGGCCATACGGGCTGGTCAGAGTTCCTCTCTTCATTGAGGTTTCAATTATTTGTTGCAGCGCAGGGGACTGTAAATCCCAGTGATCAAGTTCAGCCCTGAGATCCTGCACCTATCCACCCATCCAAATAATGGATTCCTGTCTGAAATAGATGCTTTCAGTGTCTCCTTGTTAGTGGTGCCTCCAGATTTCTACGTACTGGGTAGGGACTGAGAGGTAGCAACCTAGGAAACTCGTTTTGAAACAGCTTTGCGATAGGGAACATAGTATTTTTATTTAGTTTGTGGTAAATAAACTTTTAAAAACTAACCATTTTTCCTAAGGATGGCTTTATTTATTCACATTTTCCAGAAGAATTAAACATTCATCCTCATTGAAGAATATATATTTTTAAGGTAGCTTGAGGAGGCTGCTGGAGATTACAAGGCGTGGAGAGTCCTCCACAAGGAGCACCCCGGGGCGGTATCACGGAGACTGAATAGCCTGGGATGTACACATAAAACTGGGATAACGAGAGAACGCAGCTTTACACCCACCTCTTTGCGGAGGGTACTCATGCGCAGCTGCCCGGCACACGGCCTAGTTCGCATGCGCGGGGGCGGGGTGAGCGACGGTCCCGCGGATTTGTGGCGGATGCGGGCTGTGGGCGGTGTTTACGGTTCACTTTTCCGACCTCAGTCCCCGCGCCGCCGCCGCCCGCGTATCGGTCTCTGAGCAAGCTCGGCCCGGCCGGGAGTGACAGCGAGGCCCTGGCGCAGCCGCCACCACCACCGCCGCCGCCGTCGCGGGCGCAGATGTCGCCAGGGCCGGTGCAGGTGGGCGCTGTCTCCAACCGCCGTCCGGGCAGCGGCCGCAGCGCCCCCATGTCATCGCCGCCCGGGCGCCGGGCCCGCCTGTGGTCCTCCGGGACCAGCCGCTCGGCACCTGAGGCCCGCGAGGAGCTACGGCGCCGCCTCCTGGGCCTCATCGAGGGCAACCGAGTGATGATCTTTAGCAAGAGCTACTGCCCGCACAGCACGCGGGTAGGCGGGGCAGGCGCGGTCGGGGGCGAGGCCGCTGGGGGTGGCGGGATCTTACGGTGTCCCGGCTGGTCGTCCCTTCTGTACTTGGGACTTCGAGCTGCCCTTTCTGCTCCCAGCAGGCGGAGACTCGGAACCTTTTCCCTTGGGTGGTGACTCAAAGCCAGGGCTGGGTCTTTTTGCTCGGTCCCTTTGGCATCCATAGAGAGGTAGCCAGAGGGCCAGGCCTCCCGGAGCAACCGCCACCGCCTATACTCCGGCTGACTTGATTTGGGATCGCGGCCTGTGGGATTAATCGCTCATCCTCTCCCTCCTGGCTGTTGGCCTGATGCTGGCTTATTTATTAAGAGTTTTTCCGGAGGAATAAAAGATATATCTAAAAAGTTTAGGCCTCTTACGAGTAATGCGAGGAGAGGCCACGACTTGGGAGTAAACTAGAGCTGGAGTCATATCCCACTACCTGTGTCACTTTGACCAGTTAACAGCTCCGCAGAGCCCTGGTTTCCACATTTTGTAAAAATGAACTTAAGAACGGGTGTGAACATAGTATGCGATAGTGGATAATTTCAGCTATATTGCACACTACCTTAACTTTGAGCGATCTAACTGGGAATCCAGCATTTTTATGGGCAGATTTGTTCTGAATTTTAAAATAACCCACTTAGAGATGAACACTTGGAAGATAAACCCATCTATATTATAGGGACTTTCAGTATTTTTAACTGTACTTCACAGTATCAGAAAATTGAAATGAAATATGCAAAAGCATAAATTGTTGGATAGGTTCCTGGACTTATAGGCTATGTTCTTCAAATTTCTTTTCAGGTTTACATTGCCTTATATATTGTTTCATAAAACATGCATATCATGCACGTACATCTTAAAGAATAAAGAAACAAACTAGTACTCCAGAAACCATCTTGGATGTCTCTCTCTAATTATATTCTCCTCTCCCCTCAGAGTTAACCACTATCCAAAATTCCTTGCTTTTCTTTATGGTTTTACCAAATACATATGTATCCTTAAACAATATTTTGTTCCTGTTGGCCTGTTTTGGCACTTTATGCAAGTAGAATAATATGTATTTTCTTGCAACTTTTTTTCCTCAACGATTATATTTTATAAATTTGTGTATGTTAGTTTCTGCAGCTGTGCTTTGTTAATTTTCATTACAATAACATTCTCTAGCATGAATCATACCAGTTTATTGATTCTGTTGTTTCTAATATTTTGCTCTTAAAAGCAATACAGTTATGTCTATTCTTTCACGTATCCCTCAGTGCACACATATAAGATTTACTTTAGATGCCTTGAAGCTGAAGTCATGGAGGATGCATTATTTCTACCTTAACTAGGTGATGCCAAACTGTTTTTCCAAGAGGTTATGTCATGAGATTCTTGAACAGAGAGATGGGACACTGAGGCTATAAGCAGGAAGCAGCGTTTATTGATGCCGGCACTGGCTCAGCGGATTCTTATCCAAAGGCTGAGCCCTGATTGTAACATACTAGGCAGTTTTATATAGTCTTGTCAT